GGGAGTGCCTATAACCTTAAAATTTATTTAAATTTCATTTGACAGCTCTGAACAGACATAAATGTCCATAAATTCTCTTGCAGTCTTTTTGTTGGACGGTTTAGTTATGAAACCTTAAAGCTGATCTCCGTCCTCCCCTTCAGTCTTGCACAGTTGTACCGGCTCCTCTCCTGGACTGATATGGCTTCCTCTGATGTCATTGCACACTGGGAGCTTCTCACAATGTGCATGAGATGCTGCAGCAAGTCGGATAGAGTCCACCTCATTTCCTGGAGGATATCCAGCATCACCTAGCACAGGGTAGCCAAACTGCGGCCCTCCAGCTGTGATAAAACTACAAGTCCCATTAGGCATTGCAAGTCTCTGACAGCCACAGGCATGGCCTACTGAGGCAGATGCATGATAGTATTTGTAGTTTCCCCATAGCTGGAGGGCCGCAGTTTGGCTACCCCTGATTAGCGCTTTCCTCCCCAGCCTGACTGTGCCTGGTCTGCCCCTTCCATGCATTAGATTTCGGTTCTCTTACTCATGGAGGCTCAGCATCACACCCTGACATTAGGGAGGTCTACATGCAAATACAGCCTACCTAGTATTCCCTGGAGTAATAGGGGGGTACTGGAGGGGTTCCTTTTCCTCCTGGGTGGATTCTGGCCTGGTTATGCCAGGCTTGTCCCCAGTTGTAGGCAAGAATCCTTCCGGTGCTAATGCCTTCTGGTAGGAGTGGGGCTGCCTTTGTCTGGCCATGGGCTGGAAGCTCAAGGACCTCCGGGTGATGTGCCCCCTGGGGTTGGCGTCCCATGGGTGCCAGAGAAACACCCTAGGTGTAGGACCCCACAAATGTGGCACCTGGTACTACGTCACATCACCATTTTTCCGTTCTTGCACTCGCCTCCTAGGCAGGCCTTCTGGCTAGTCTGGAGTAATGGTTATACCTGGTGAAAGACTTACTATGTAGTGCACATGGCAGTATTATTTATGGGACTTATAGATTTGCATGAACACTTTTTCACTCCACAGATGATGGAGGGTGTAGGGCTGCAACAACTAATTGACATAATCGATTATAATCGATTATTGAAAAAGTTGTCAACTTTTTCAATAATCGATTAATCGGCTTCCGATCAGTTGGCCCTGTTCAAAGCTCCACATGCTGTGCGCCGCACCTCGCCCCCACCTCACGCTCGCCGCTGCCAGACCCGCTCGCATCCACGCGCCGCACCTCCTCCCCTCCTCACATTTCCTGCCCATCCACGATCGGCAAGGCACGCGGGGAGATGTAGTAAGGAGG